TGTCAGACCTTCCGGAACATTTTCAAAAGTTAAGTTGAAAAAGTTAATTTTTTGTGAAAAAGTTGTCATTTTAAATCCCACACTGTGGGCAGATAAAGGGTCAAATTTACAAAAGAAATATATCAAATGATAGGTAAAGACATCAAATATCTATAAAAAAAAAAATTATATTGATATGTTTATTTTTGAAAAAGTTACGGCACATTTAAGTAAAAAAAATTGAAAAAATTTCGAAAATTAGCGATTTTTAAATTTGTAATTTTTTTGGAGGTTTCCCCCATTTACGGGGAACGAGGGAAATTTTTTCAATTTTGAAGGGTAATGTCTTCGACTAGATACAATTTGTGATCTTTTGACGTATCGTTGAAAGAAATCCGTTCGGTGAGAGCTGAGAAAAAGTGGTAACAGACACAAAAAAAAANGAAAGAAATCCGTTCGGTGAGAGCTGAGAAAAAGTGGTAACGAACACAAAAAATAACACATCATAGTAAAACCAATACCTTCTCAGCTTCGCATCGAAGCTAAAAGAAAACGATATCCGGACTCCGAAGAGACCCCATCCGATGGTCTGGATGCTTCGTCGAAAAAAAACCTGGCCGTTCGCCGTTGGCGGCTCTAATCCATCATTGAAAAAAAGTGTCAATAAAACAACAAATGTGTGCACCCTAGCACGGTCAATGACAGAAGAAAGAATAGAGAAGAGTCAACACCGATCTAACGGCAATTTCAAATTGATAACGGCCAGTCTTTTCGGAAGGGATCAATACTGATAAACAATTCGATATAAATTATATTTCTCTTTTATCGCCTTATCTAGCGGTCAGTGGCAAAATAATGAGTGGTTGACACCGCTGTGTCAGAAAAAGGAGGTTCTTTCGCGCTATAAAATAAATAAGTAGACATAACAAAAAATCATAAACGGTCCACCTTCGAATTTGTGACGTTACAAACTATTCGAATATATTATGTAACTATCGAATATTTTTACTAGTGATGCGCATTTTCGAATATTTTAAACTATCGTATAGTATATTCGTTATTAGTAATCGTAATTATATATTTTCAGGGTTCAATATATAAAAATTTCTAATAAAATTTGTAAAAATTTAACAATTAACCAAAACAGTGGTAAGCAATATTTTTTGATCAAATATAGTTGATATGTATTATTGTGTATACATAATCTGACAGACTAAATAAGTATACTTTTTAGGGTATCTTTAGTGAATATTTACTAGGAATCTACTATTTACTTAAAGATGCTTTTTTTTATTGATTTTATAAAGAGTTGTATAGCTACCCGTTTATTACAAGATGTATACTGATATACATCAATAAATGAAATTTTGCTTCTATGTATTGTGGTAGGGCGCATACTAGTTGCAAACCTACGAAATGCATCCCTTCTTTATCGTAACTAGAAAGATCAATCTACAATTTATGATAGTTGTCATATGGAGATATAAAAATGACACCCCTATAAATTTTAAGACATGATTCTAAAAAGTCATTTATAGCTAATTAATCAAGAAATATACGTAACTGAAAAATATCAAAAATTTGATTTCCAAAATTATATTTAAGATAAACCGATAATTCTGTATATAAATATAATGATTGTGTAACATACTTCATTTCAAAAATTTGACCTCTGGACTTACTTTCAAAGTGTGAACAGACATCAAAGTTATCGAAAAAAAAAACAATTTTTGCATAAAATTCGCTAAGTTTAGAAAAATAAAATAAATTGTTATACAAAAACTTATATGAAAGAGTTTTTTAGAAATTAGTGTCATATTCTATTGGTTTATTAAGAGTAAAGGGATCTTTTTTTTGGAAATAATTAATTTAAACTAAAAACCTTTATAACTTTTGATAATTGTTGGATACACATTGATCGAATATGCTGTCAAGAAAATGTGTTGTTGATTATTCATGTTATCGTTGTGTTACATCGAGTTGTTGTCGGTCTTCTCTCTATGTCAGCATTGTCGACGCCATCTTAACGCTCTTCTGCTATAAGCTCTATGGCGTTTGCGAACCAGTAGTCTTGTATTCGTTTTACTGTAAAAAGAAAATATCACCTTTGTGATTGTCGTACCCTGTGCGCTCAGTTTATTGCCGTTAGGTCTATATATTTTCTGAGATACATCGCAATACCATTGACAGCATATTGTACACATTAGTCAGCTATTTGCATTCGACTTCAATTGATCCTTTCAATATTCAACATTATCATCAGCCGTTTCATTTAGCAGATAAGTATAATGCTTATTCATTTATCTTTCTAAGACTCACTTATATAATTTATTATTGGTTTATATACACATTGGTGTATATAAGATTTTATATTTCTTGTATAATACATTTAATTGTTTTAATTATATTTTGTAAAATTCATTATACATTTAAACATACAGTCCACTCACCTTATTCCTTATCCTCGACATAGCTAAAAACTTAAGGCAAAATAAAACCACAAACGTTAACGAACCACGTGAATACCACCGGGCGCTGCGTTCCAACATTGGTCCTTCGAGCGTGGATATTTATTTTTCTTAATAATGGCCCCGAGGCATTTCAAAGTAAATCTAGAAGAAAAGACTCTCATTGGAGCACGCACTTTTCGGGATAGTTTACTTAAGTCGATTACTGAAATTCATAAATTCGCCATTAAGTTTAAGTCTAACATTAGCCTTAAAGAACAGTTTAAAGTACGCGTTCGTCAATTAAGTGTTCTCAAAAAACAATTTCGCAAACATCAACAGGCTATTGTAAACGCGTTAATAGAACTCGATTGCGTCGAAGAGTTCAATAGTATCGATTCGACAGTGACTCTCGAAATGGAAAACATGTTTTATGATATTAGTGCTGCTGCGTCTGTAGTTCAAAACGAGATCACACCGCAACCCGCTGTTGCTGCGCCCAGCCATTCTCATTCGTTATATAACAACATTTATGCGAATATGACTTTATTTTTGATGGTAGTATCACAGATTGAACTACTTTCCGTGATACATTTGAATCTATTGTGAATGTCGATTCTAATAAAATTAGGTGATTCCATTTCCTTCTTTCGTATTTGTCCGGCTCCGCGCTCACTGTCATAAAATGTATAACAATTACGGAAGCCAATTATGATATAGCGTGGAGCGCACTTACTGATAGGTATGAAAACAAAAGAGTGTCAGCAACAGCACACTTGGACAAAATCTTTGCATTTCAGCCTATAAATAGTGAATCACTTTCATCTTTGCAACTTTTTTTGAATGTCTTCAAAGAAAATATTGAGGCAATCAAAATTTTAAGCATAGATTACCTGTCTGGTTTTTTGCTTTTCTATATTGCTTCTCGTGTATTGAATAACACAACAAGACACTTATTTGAAAACAGTATATCACAATCGATTATTCCTACTATGAATGACTTGCTGAAGTTTATTCAGCAAAGTTGTAAAATTTTGGAAAATCTTAAAGGTTCTAATCTAGTTGCGTCGCGTTCGATACAGAAAAATTCGTAGTCGCCGAAACATTCATGAACCACCGTTGCGTCTAATAATCTAGAGCCTACTGTTCAAAACAAAATTCAGTGTTCTTATTGTCAAAAGGGTTCACACCCTCTTTATCGGTGCTATATCTTTCAAAAAATTCCTGTTCAGAAAAGGCGTGATCATGTTTCTACGCACAAATTATGTTTTTCTTGTCTTAAACCGGGTCATGTTGCATCGTCATGCGCTTTAAACTCGGCGTGTAAGAGGTGCGAGAAAAAACACCACAATATTTTGCACATGGATCAACCTGCGCCATCTACTTCGTCAACTGTTGATCAAACAGGTGATACGCCGCCGAAATTTTCAGGTACTTCATATGCATAAAGAACTGTAGTATTGGGTACTGCTGTCGTGCAAGTTCGCGATAATACCGGCTCTTACCAGCGTGTGCGTGTCCTAATGGATATTGTGTCCCAAATATCAGCGATTACGTCAGATTGTTTACAACGTCTTGGCTTACCGCGTCGTAAATGTCTCTCTGAGATAGTCGCCTTGGCACAAAACCGTGTAAACCAAATAAAGGGCAGTTCTAAATGCACGTTTATACCACACTATGCATTAGAACCAGTCTTTAATTGTAATGACTTGATAATTTTATCAAACATAACACATCTCATGCCGACCACGCGTTTACCACCGAAAGTACGTGAGCAATATCACGACTTGCTGTTCGCCGATCCCCACTTCGACACACCCGGTACTATTGATATGTTGTTGGGCGGAAATGTCTTTCCACATACTGTACGTCCAAAGACGGAGATCATACATATGAAAAGTCTATCCTACGCGCTTGACACCTACCTAGGATGGATATTAGTAGGTACAGTCTGGCTCACTGACACTTCGCCACAGCCATTGACGTCACTCGCCGTGACTCTTAGCCCATCTGTTGACAGTTTGTTACGTCAATTCTGGACAATAGAAGAACCTTCTGTCCCGCTAATTCCTACAACGGAAGATGAACTCTGTATTCACTGGTTTACACATACTACCAGTGGCGCAACTACGGGGGTGCTAGATGGTGCTGAAGCACCCCCAACTTTACTTTAAGCACCCCCAAGTTCCACGTCTTTGTAATTTCAAATATTTATTCATTCAGTAATATAAAATACAAAAATACAACAATTAATAATATAATAAAGCTGATGGGTCCTTATTAGCAATACTCATCATTCTATAAAATGGCTGGTGTTCTAGGTAGTTGGTATTACATTTAGGTACAGAAAAAAGAATTAAATTAGCAACTTCTATAATATTAGTACTAGTAAACCCATTCAAATTAATTGTTTTAGGAATTGACTGTTGAGATTTATTCTTTCTAACAAAGTTCCAAAAATTTTTTGGATTAATACAAAAATTAGATTCAGTCTGTTCAATAAATTTTCTGTAACAATTTTTCGATAAAAATTTTGTATTTTGCACGTAGTAGAAAAAACTTTCTGTAATCGAGTGGATTACGTGTTGCCTTAAAAATGGCGTGGGCTTTTCTTTTTTGGAACACTGTATCAAAATCTTAATCACTGAACACTGAAACAAATCCTTAGAAAACTATCAAGGAAAATTAGATTTATTATAGTTAACACGTGGAACCCAGTGAAGAATAGAGAAGTGTAATGAATCATACAAAGTTGATGTTGCTAAATTAACGTCTAGTTGAGTAAAAGTATCCAACCAATTATAAGACAGGAATAAATCTGAAATACGTGTATAATCTGCTTTCGTAAAATTAAAATATGAATCAAAGGCATGAAAGAACGGATATTTTTATTTGTTGGGTAATCAATAGCTAATGCAGGATAATATCGATCTTCAAGAACAATTGGATCGTGCACCATATTAACTTTAAAGAGATTCTTATTTGTAAATATAAGATCTAACATTGAATTGTAAACGTTAAAAACATTATTAACTTGATAAAAGTTTAAGAAAGCAAAAGTCTCAGGAATAGGCTGTTTTCGGTAGCCATTGAATAGAAAATACCTAAATTATTATTAGACAAATTAATATTATTTAAGTTAAAGTCGCCATATAGAATAAAATTATGGGTGCTATAACAACAAACTAGATTTTTAATTGTGCTAGAATAAGTATCATAGGATTGAATAGAAGAGTTAGGAGGAAAATATACACCACCAACTATAAAATTGTCATTATTACAACTAAAACTAACATAAATTTGTTCAATACTTAAATTAGAGATAGAAACAATTTATGAATGAAAATCTTTATGCACAACAATAAGGACACCACCATCTCTAGTACAATTACTCATTAAAATACTTCTATCACATCGGTAAACATTATAATTATCCAAACATAATTCAGAATCAAATATATCAGCATTAAGACAAGTTTCTGTTAAAACAAGAAATACATAATTACACTTAAGAATAAATAATTTAGTCCTAAGACCACGACAGTTTTGGTAAAAACCAAACGGAACATTATCATTCGACGTAGTATAGCTAATTGTAGGTAAATCACGAGGACAAGACTTATTAATTTTAAAATTGTAGAAATCTAATATAAAAGTACTAAGAGTGGACTTGGCATTTATTATAAAAATATACATGCTCATGCAAACCTAGTGTACATGGTTGAACTATGAAAGTTGAGAAATTTGCTGAATCTCTGGTTGTCGAATGGTAAGTTTTCACGGACCTGGTTTTTTGTAATTGATTTGACCACAGATGGAACACCATTTTCATAATATATACGTAGATTTGTTTCACCTTGAGCTATACGAGACAACAGATCATTGTGACAAGCACGTAATAGTTGTCGTTCAAATTTGGTTTTATCCTTGACAAGATTAAAACCATTTTGGAATTGAGTACCTGACCGCTTAACCTGGTTGTATGGTACAGCAAAAATTGTGCTTCCTCTTTGTTAGTATATATTAACTTAAGTGGGCGGGTAATACCTGGACGTGGTTTCCCAATCCGATTCAATTTGAGATTCGTTGGAAGATAATTTCTAACCGGCAACAAAATATTTTTAATCATGAATTCATCATGTAGAACTCTCTCAGAACCAGTTAAAGAGGTAGACTCTAATATACCATAAGCAATCACATTGGAAGAACAACAATCTCATTCAAATAGTTCTTGCAAAACCTGGCTAGTGATTGTGGATGGGTTAGCAGACGAGTTGTCTCTTCAAGACTACTAATTTTTGCCTTAAATGAACCAATATCTCTTTTGAGTATTATATTCTCTGCTTTGAGTTCACTCACTTGCTCAGAAACTTTTAATATTTCTGCTTTAAGTGTATTGAACTGCAAAAATTGCGAGTCAGAAAGTGTTTTATTGGAGGCGAGAACTTCAGCTTTGAATAACAAAATAATTTGCATTAAATCTTCATTAGATGTAGTACTAGAAGATTTCCTACTAACACCAGAACGGACAGCAACTTTTTTTGAAGTTGCATTGGTTGCACCAGGAGAAGACATATTAGAAAAAGTACTCGGGGTTATATTCTTCAAAGTAAGCCACTAGAGGTTAGTCTCTAACAAGTGGAAGAAGAAACTAGCTAATGTTTTAAATCGTATGTTGATAGTAGCAATATTATCAAAAAACAAATTATAAAAAAGATAGTACGACTTAGTATACGAAAAGACGTAATTATTAAACTACTTATACTTGCATATAACAAACCAACGAAGATTACCACGACGCACAATTGAACACNTGACTTAGTATACGAAAAGACGTAATTACAGACGTAGTATTAAACTACTTATACTTGCATATAACAAACCAACGAAGATTACCACGACGCACAATTGAACACAAAAATATACTTAATACTTTAAACAACAATTGTAAATAAATTATTTGTATATACCAATTGAAATTGTTATAAGGACTGTAAGTAACAAAATCTATATTATATTTTATAATTATATATTACATAACTAATACAAATTAGTAATTACTGTAAATAATTAGCAAATATGTAATGTGTATGTGATTTGTAATTGAAACACCCCGAAGATTTGAACTCTAGTTGCGTCACTGCATACTACCACACGTGATGTATCGGGTCGTTTTTGTGTGGCGCTACCGTTCAAAGACGAGATTTCTGTGGGGTGTAATAAAAATACCGCTGACATGAACGCACCTTCGCTCAACCACGAGCTCGGTGAATCTCGTAATTTAGCTCTCAAAAGATTGTATAATTTCGAACAACGTCTTTCTAAAATTGCAGATTTATACGATGCGAACCGCAAATTTATGAATGAATATTTTTCGCTCAGTCACATGAAACTCGCTACGCGTACAGGCAAATATTTTATCCCACATCACGCAGTGGTAAAACAAAACGGATACTTATCCAAAATCCGTGTGGTCTTTGACGTTAGTGTGCCTTCGTCATCTTGTTTGACATTAAATGACGTATTATGTGTTGATCCAAAACTGCAAAGTGATATAAGTAATTTGTTACTCATGTGCCGTACACGTAAATTTATGTTTACCGCTGATCTAGTTAAAATATTCCGTCAAATTCGAATACATGAAGAGGACTACACTTGCCAACATATCTTATGGCCACAATCCCCCGATCACGAAGTCTCAGAATTTGAGTTGCTTACTATTACATACGGGCTCACTCCATCTCCATATTAGTCGATACGTTTTCAACACGAGTTAGATATGCGCGAAGGACATAAGTTTCCCGCTGCAAAAGGGTCTTTGACCCATAACACATACGTGGATAACATCATTATTAGTAGAGACACTGAAGAACACAAGCTGTGACGATGGAACGAAGAGCAATGTTTTTACAGCATTGTACATCTTAGGCTTACAACTTCACAATTGAATTCTCTATTAATATTAGAAATGAAAAAAAAAAAAAATCACAGTCGCATAAGTCACACTAGAATTACATATGGATTTCTCATGAAAAGAGGGGAACCTCCAACATATTAATCAAGATAAAATTACAAAAATTTACACATTTACTAGTAATTAATACAAGATTATAAAACCTAATATTGATAGCATTGGTTTACCGATGACACCTACGTTAAAAAAGGCTTAACTAGTTTTGAGATCTAGACGGCTCAGAAACGGCTATGTAGTATTAGAATATATCTATATTGGCAAATCATATGTCATTATGTTTGACAAGAAATAAAAAAGAAAACTAGAACCTAAAATTAAAGCTGTTTTTTTTTATTTATAATATAGTTTTTTAGATAGTCATGAGTAGGGTTCGGAATTATACTCGTCGATTAATTTTGATAAGTTATTCCGAACACATACATTGCAAAGTGTTCCAATACCAGTTTTGCATTGTGTTAAAAATTTACTTTTGTACGTTTGTTTTTATGCTGATAATTGATTACCATGATACTTAAGATTATGGGAAATTATTGCTTCCGCTAAAACTGAATAAGCTTGGTTTGTCGTTTCCACTAAACCGATTTTATACTTGACTATCTACTAAAAAATTTGAGAACCATTTAGCTTTATCCATCACCACGACGGAATGATCATTTTAGAATACGGGCAAGATAAGCAGTTGCCCGTACCAAAATTTTTGGCATTTATTTTTGCCTCCTTTACCACCTCGTAATACGGTTCTGATTACGTCGTTTTGAATAATTATTTATTTTACCGTAAAGGTTTTATAAATAAATTATGACGTTGTCAAAGGTAAATTAATTATTTATAATTAATTATAAGTTAACTCTATGTATATATATATATATATATATATTTGTAATAAATAATACAAATATATTAATATAAATTTTAATAATACCAAAAATTAAAAAAATGCGTGGTTTCTACAATCTAAATGAAAATTTGAAATGAAATAAGTTCTTCTACATTAGAAATATTTTTTTTGTTCCATTATTTTGTATTGTTTTTCAAAATTTTCACACAGAATAACGAACAAAAATTGTTTAAATAAAGTTTATTAAGAACAGAACACAAAAATTACAAAAAAATTAAAGTAAAAAGGGTAATATTTGATATTGACAATTAAATAACTAAAGAAATAAATTTAAAATTCAATCTATTTATATAAATGAATACAAATGTATGTAATTTTATTTTGATTAACTCAGATAAAATATTTATGGATAACTTTTACTGTTAGAATGTAATAAAATGATATGAAATAACATGTGTTTTTTTAAATTAAATATATGAAATAAAATTGAGTATAACATTTAATGCATTTTGAAATGAACCAGATGAAATATACAAACTTATAAATATAAATATGTATAATTATAAATGTATGTCATAAATTTATACGAAATAATGTGAGTATTTTTTCCAGTTAAAAATATGGAACAAAATTGAGTATAACATTAAATGTCTTAGAATTTGCTTAATTAAAACAATAAAAATGTTCATTCCTTTTAATACTAAAAAATAAATTATAAAATAATTTTGAATGTGTTTTCACCAGATAAACGGAAAATTACTTCAGAGACATTTAATGAATAATATATTTAATATATTGACTAATAAGCATAATATTATGCTTTATCCAACATAGAATTCGGATAAGGTTCATATTTTTCTATACGTCTGTCCACATATACCTTATTGTCATTACTCAACATATCTGTAAGACCTTTATAAGAGAGCAGTTTATCTACCGAAGAACTGTGCTCAAAACAAACAAAACCGCATTTCAGTGTACTTTCTTTTCCATAACGATAAGCGCCGTCGAAAATTTCAACATTTAATATATTGCCAAATTTAGAAAATTTTTCATTGATTTGTTCAATTGTTATTGTAGATTTTATACCTCCAACATACAAATAGTTGGCTTTATTTATGGGAGAAGATTTTTTATTTGACACTGCATTTTTCTGCTTATCAATACGTTTGCTAGACACTTTAGTGCCTTTAGGTACAATTTGTTCAGAGAACACGTCAAATTTACTCACGTTTCTAGCAAGTGTCGATACAACATCATTTTTAATAGGAGATTTCATATCATTATTTAAAGCAGGTTTTGTTTCAACTGCCTTGCTATCAATTTCACCATCAGCTACTAAATTTGAATGATTGTTAGTATCTATCTGAAGACTTAATACCTCAATAGGATTCTTAATTTTAATCTGTATGTCAGAGTTAGCTGCAACTGCATTAAATTGAATATTCTGTAACGGTTCTACTTTCTGTACTATACTTGGGTTTTCAACAATCATTTTCTTGTCGTCGGGTAGCGAAACACTATTTGTTAACTCAAGTCCAGAATTTATCATATTTGCTGTTGTAAATTCAAGTTCATTATTAGATTTGATTGATTCATAATTAGGGTTTTCTTTTAAAAAGTTTCGATAAAAATCTAAAATGATCAATTCATATAACTTGTACAACATCCAAATTATGAGTAGTATTATATAACCAATAGCCATAGACCACTGAATAACTTTTATCGAAATATTGCTCAAGATTTGCAAGTTACTTCGAAACATTTTAACAAAATATTTATATATATAATTATAATTGATTGTTTCAACTTATTTAAACTTAAAATTTTACTGTATATTAACACAAAACTACTTAATTATAAAATTTCGAGAGCAAACTGAATTGTATATTCCAATCTAACTATCTGTTTGTTGACGTAACTATAGAAATTCTTTTTAGTTTTATGATATTTTAGTTTAATAAATATTAGTGACCAATCTCTAAAATATAATTTTTTTTTATTACATAAGAAAATATTATATCTGTACGTATATACTATTATTATAATTAATGTATTTACACAATAATTATAACTCATGCTATGTTTGTTAACATTTCTATTATTGACAATAAATAGAGGAAAAAAATAGTTCATGTAAGTTTTATAAATACTTTAAATCTCCTATCAAACACTAGACCAGGATATTTAGTTTTGGTTGTTGTGAGAATATAAATATTATTTATGAAAACTTGAAAATGTTTTTTGGGACGAAAAATAAATGTTATTTTAAACCGGATTATAACTGCAATATTCATATCTAAAAAAAAATTTGGAGAAAAAAAAACAAAAGGTTAAAATATTGTATTTTGTAAATTTCTATATTATACTACAACCCATTTAGAAATTCTGGCAATCGTATTAAGTATATCAATATCAATCATTTTTTGGTTATACAAATAACCACAAAAATTTTAAACCCTCATAAATAAAAATATATAACTGGAATGTGCACTCAATGGTGTAGCTTGAAAATGTTGTCTTTGAGGGCTACAATCAATCTATTTCATAAGTTTGAATTTGAAGGGGAGTATCTATACCACATCTTCCACCTCACTCTCTAAAAGTTTAGTTTATTCATAGAGATACGATTGTTTTTATGAAAACCTATAAAAATATACAAAATCCAAGACTATAAACAAAAATATGTGCGTATAAAATTATTTTCAAAAAATTTGTTAATTTATTTAAAAATATTTCTATGAAATGTTCACAAAAATTTCTATACTTTTATCAAACCCAGAAAATTACCATGCCCACCTTTCTTATTCTTTACATTCAGAATTGTTACTCATAAATTAAAAGAATAAAATTTGGGCTGATAGGTCAGAAGGTTAAAAAATACAAGATGGTCTTTTTTTGATTACCCCAAATTACAGCTATTTAAATTTGTTATGATAAATTTAAAAATGTTTAATATTGTCACACAAATATAAAAACATTTTTACGTTATTTACGACTATATTTCTTTAATATTAAAGAAAATAACATCTTTAGAATCACCTCATTTATTGAAAACGTGTCGTATACTAACAGTATTTCTTTTTTCTAAATATAATTTAACGTGGTTTTATTTAAGTTCAAAGTTTTTTCTATTCACTTTAGTTATTTTGATATTAACTTTTAAAGAATTTATTATAAGTACAAAATAACTGAAAATTGAAAACAGAGAATGTTTTCTTTTAATCAACAATGTTAAATTAAAATGATACACAGAATGCTAGTAATGTTAATAGTATTCTACGTTTAAGAAATTTCATAGATTATTTTTTCATACTCCTTTCTCCCCTTATATTTTATTAGTTTCTTTTTTTAATTGAAACTTATATTAAATAGTATAAATTTATTGTATTTCATAGCTAAAACATAAAAAAATGATTTAATTAAGAAATGGACTATTTGCTAACAACTTTTGAACGAGTATTCTGGAAGTAATTGACACTATAAAGAATGAAAGTGAAGAGCAGTCTGTTGATTTATATCTTTAGACATTTATGAACTGTACTACACTTTCCGCTCCACTTTAAAAGTGCTAATATATTTAAAATACTAGTTCAAAAGTTGCTATTGGCCAGTTATTTTCTTAATTGGATCACATTCGTATTTCTCAGCTGGTTTAAATATGTTTTTATTTAAAAAACTAAAATTTATACTATTGCGAGAGGGTGAGATAAGGGAAAAGAAATTTTTTTTTAAGTCGACGCCCATGTTTTTAATAGCCTTATTATTATTGTGATTGTATATGTTTTTGGTATAATTTTTTTATACTCCTTATATTTATTTGTTTTGTGAATTCTAAAGATTTTAATTGTGAATATACCAAATAGTTTTATTCTATACATGCTTCAAAATAATTTTTTTGTAATAGTTTGTAAATACTATTTTAATTTTTGGTATACATATTTTTTATGTATTTTTCATCTACGCTTTGTTTTTTCATATACCTAAGTTATTGCTCTGTTTTTGTTCATGGTTTATATTATACACTTATATTTTATAATTTGTATTTTCTTAATATAAACTGAAATTTACATTCTGATATGACTTGGCTAGCGTTTTTTTTTTTTTTACAATAAAAAAAGTATGACTATTATTTTATAACTTTGCACTAANTTACAATAAAAAAAGTATGACTATTATTTTATAACTTTGCACTAATACACTTGAATCGATATACGCAAAATTAAAATTAAATGTTGTATTATTTTCGATTAAATAAATCAAATTTTAAATATAGAGATTTGTTAATTTTGTTTATAAGTTTTTATGATTTATGTAATTTTTATAAAAATGTTGTAAGGTTTCAGCCAAAAAGGAGGGCATACTATTTACCCACTGACCATGGGGAACACTGGACAGTGACCTAGTAGCCGCATCAAGCAAGATAGTACTTGTTGACGGAGCTACTAGGTTTTGATAAAAAAAAACAAATGTTAATAAAAAGAGAAAGGCCATGTATAATATAATATTTTTTCTTTTTAATTATTGAAAATTTATATGTATCATTTTAAATATATAATGTATATTCATAAGAAAAGAATAATAAAGAATAAATTTAAGGGTAATGTCTTCAACTAGATACGATTTTTGATCTTTTGACGTATTGTTGAAAAAAATCGGTCCAGTGAGAGCTGAGAAAAAGTGGCAAAAGACATAAAAAAAAATATTGTGTAATATTTACGAAGATATTATAAAAATAATATAGTAGTTTTATATTACTTAACTATTAACGTGTATAAAAAT